CTATCGTCCAAAACACCCGGTCCCCTTTCATCCAAGACTTCAAACACAGTGTACTTACATCTCGGGGCGTATTAAAAGCAGACGCTCGTTAATCTAGAATTCGCAGACGCGGCAGGTTGTTTTTACAAACGTCTCACGACACTACCTTGTACCGTTTTATCCATCGTTATCGCGATTTTTTTCCTTACGTAACCACCCGCGAACGAATAAAGAGCGCACCTTTGTCTCTCCCCGTTGTCCGCTACACCTATTATCGAATCGCATCTGCGACACGTGGACGCGCACAAACGTTACGTGACAACCGCGTCATAATTACTCGACAATTAAAATAAACCATGAGTTTCCACCCTTCGATCGTTCTTTTTTCTTTCTTTCCTTCGAGAAATATTAGAAAAACATAATTCAACGTTGAGGACAGTAGAGTCCAGCGAGTATTAATTAGCTCGTCTTTAATTAGGTAGGCGAAGTGTTCTCGGTACTCCAATTGCGTTGTTTACCTCCTTTTTAACAACATTTGTCCAACTTACGCTTTCTCCAGCGATAATGTGTGTAATAATATCGACCCTTTTGTGTTAAAAATGTGCGATTCAATATGGAAATTTCTAATCGAATGTAAAATGTGACGGGACAATTTTTGAAATTTGTCTTCAAATATTGACCTTCACTTCAGACTTCAAATTAAACGTGAAATAACTTTTTATTGTCCCTACTTCTTTTATTTTCCAACTTGTAAAAATTAAAATTAAGCTTTCTCCAGCGATAATGAGCACAATAATATCGACCCTCTTCTTATGCTAATACCGTGAATATGCAATTCGATAAATTATGGAAATTCACAATTGAATGCAAAATGTAATCAGATAAATCTGTAGATGAAAATTCTCTGTCAAATATTAGACTATGCATAGACTGTGCATAATTTTTAAAATATAGCACTTGAATATATATCAATAACATGCTTACTACATGATATGAAATCAAAATAAGCTAAACAAAAGCAACGTATGTTGCAAATTATATATTTAAAATGAAAGGGAAAATCTTGATTTTTAGAAAAGTGGTCTAAATATGGGGCACTGGTAAAATAGTCGAAATGAAAAGTAAGAACTTTTTCAAGATATTATATATCTTTTCATTGTCTTTCTTTCTAATGTTCTGGTATCTTTCTTATTATAGTCCTCATAGTCACCGAATTCTAATATTGCCAGCTTTGTAGCACATGTTCAGCTCATTTGGCTATTCGTTACAAATTTACACTAAAAAGAAGCTTACAATATCAGCAATGTAGCGCTCTTAGTTTAACAGATTATTGTCGAAAAAATAAAACGAACTTACTTGAGAAACGTTATAAAATAGCGAAATACGAGAAATGACACTTTATGCAACACAACACGTAAACAAAATAAACGCAGGTCACTATCTCCTCTGCAACGCTTATTTCGTTCATAAATCGTAGTTTCATCCTATTTTCAATAGGATGAAGCATTTGACATGACTCACAACTTCTACAAGCCCGTATTTAGACCTTCTCCTCTAATATTCACTCCATTTCTTCAATTTTTATTTATCGCTTATTCGTATAAGCTTATTGCTTATTAACCTTTCGAGTGCTATGGACGCATATACACTACCGGCCAAAAATTTCGAATCATTCGAATTCGCTACTAACACTTCATTGATTTGAAATTGACGTTACGAAGATCAATAGCACTTTGCCTCGTTTCAATTGATTCGAATGATAAAAAATTCGTTAAAAAATTATTATAAATGCTAACTTTCAAGAGCTGTTACTTAAGAGATACTCGTGAGACACTCGGGTAATCAGAAAGTACCCGGATAAATAGAAATTATCCGGGTATCTCATGAGATGAGAGTATTATTCCTCGACTGTTTCGGCAGAGGTTTCAAAACAATATTGTGTAGGGTACAGGTGCACTTTGACATCGCTGTCGCGACCGATCCGCATTTGTTTGCCCGGTGAACCATCAGCGGTAGTGGCCACCGAGATTTCGACTGTTTTATGTACATATTCGAGTACTCGTGAGATGCCTGGGTCGATCGTGTTATTTTCATCTACCCGGGTATCTCATGGGTACTCGGATACCCGGTTAAAAGTAACAGCCCTACTTGCTATGCATAGTGATTCCAAACATTTAGCCGGTAGTGTATGCGTCCGGTGAAAGCTACCGGTGTGGACTATGGACGCATATATGCGTCCGTCAATTATTTCGATCTCCCGTGTAGTGTAGTTACAATTATCTTTACATGAGATGGATACACGTGTTCCTTAGCTACCTATGAAGAATACACGTGTGTTGTTTCATTTTGTGTAAAAGAATTACAATAATAACTCATTGTTAGTTGCGTCTTGTACACTCAATCAACAGAGTTCACGGAGAGCTTCGGCAGGGAGTACAGCACTCAAAGGGTTGAATTATTTATCTCATTGATGCTTCAAAACAACGATAGAAATTTACATTTCAGTTTATACTTAGACACCGAGTACACCCCCCACGTGTACTCAGTTACGTCATTTCCTACCACGTATCTAATTAAGGGTTAGTAAAGGCTCCACGGTTGGAGGAGCACCGAATCGTTAAGGAAAGCATCGTAAAAGAGGACGACAGGTGAAGTGGTAAGGAAATTACACGATGAATATTCGACAGGGAGAAACGAATTCATCGTCGGGTATCGCGAAACAGTAATTAACGAACGGTAATACGATTATCGGTATTGTTAAGGTGGATCGAGGGACGTCGAGAAAGCGGCCAGTGACTAATATAGCTGTAAACACGATGCAAATGACGTAGCCAGGCGGATCAGGATGAATAGACGCGTGAACAAATATTGGCTCACTAAAGCGCGTTTTCTGCTTTGATCTGCACAAATTTCGTTCGATAGCCGTACCAACGTTTCCATTGTACCTACGTTCCGTCGCCACACGGTGCAAAATGTACACTCGGTTGATTTTGTACGATTGAGTTTTACGTTGGACATTCTATGACTGGAAATTAATATTGAGAAATACATTTTGTTTTAGAATGTACAGAGTTAGGATGATTTATTGTTCTTTTTATCTTTTATGGTTTTAGTTGTGATTGATAGCGATGGATTTTCTTTCTTTTTCTAGTTCAAACGAAAAATGCAAATGTAGGCGCGTTAAGAATGACAAACTGTTTATACAGGTGAATAAACTGACACTAATATGCTGAGCCCTTTTTACGCTCGAACACTAAGCATGTCTGCGTTGAACGGTATTATAAGCGATGAATACTTCTTGGTGCAGACTCGAAGAATATTCGTTTAGTTATGTTTGTGAAGAGTAACCGAACCGTAATGGAACAGCTCTCTCTCTTTTTCTCACTGTTACACGTGTACCTACCCGTGGTAATTTGTGTTTCGTAAAATAATTACAACGCGATATTCAACTACAATTACGTAAGCACCGGTTTGTGAAGGAATAGCGGCGATAAATTAATTAAGGAGTTAAACAGTTACGGAGTTACAATGTAACTAGCGCTCGCAGGATTATTGAAAGAGACTCGAACGATGCACGCGAGCGCAAACGTTAATCCTTTCTGATAAGCGTTACCTTTCGACGGCAATTTTGTAATTCTCGAATTCATTGGATATTCGAATATTCTAATTTTCGTATTTTCAGATATTGAAGTATTCAGATTACTGAATATTTTAATATTGAGATACATATTGAAATATTCAAATTTTCGAATATTCAAATCTCCATATATTCCAATTGTCATATTTTCACACCTTGAAATTTTCAGATATTCAAATCTACAAATTTTCAATCTTCGAATATTGAAATTTTGAAATTTTCAAATATTCAAATCTTTAAATGTTGGAATATTCAAATTTGTAAATTTCCAAATCTTAAAATCTTTCCAAAAAATTCGCAATGCACCTTAACCTTGTTTAATCCGCTAAGACACCTCAAACTCTGCAACCCAATCTCCTTTAAAAGAACCAATATCAGTCAATTCAATTCTCCTAGAACGAACCATCCCGCTTTACTATAAATAACCGGACAATTCCTTTCCCTGAAATGTCAATTACCTCCGTAGAATCGATGCGAGAGAGACACTTCTCAACACCTCCGTAGACTTGAAAGAAGGCATGCAGCGAAACGGTCAATCCAATCTCTGTTATTCATCTCCAAGAACCAGAGCAAACTAATTACACGTTAACAAGCTTCGACAATGCAATCTGTACGTAGAAACAGGAAGCAGAAACGTGAAACACGCGTGTTAGCCATTTTTCCGTGGTCGTTCGTTTCCTTTCGTTCACTCGTCGCCGATCGAAAACGAGCGCTTTCTCGCTTGTCCTGATAATGGAACGCGTGAAAAAAAAACAGACTATATCAATCATCGTGTGTACACTGTGCACTACTGTCTCCAAAAAATTTCAAGACAAACTTGTTCTTCGATTATCACCGTATTATGCACAAAGAATTCCTATCGACTGGTCAAACAATCGATAAACAATGTCATGAGGTATTTGCGTGATTCAACTCAGAAAAAGCAACCAGGTTTATGAGACTCACTTTGCATGAGGATAAAACACTGACTCACACTTCGGTGTTTATTCCGGACATTTTGGCCAAAAATTTGACTAACATCATTCCACAAACATGACGCGACTTTTTCCTCTTTCCCACACTGAAATTTCCTCTACAGGGGCGCTTTTTTGGGTCAATTAAAAATACAGAAATTCTCATATTTTCAAACACTCAAATTCTCAAATATTCAAAAACGCTACCGCACAAATCGAGTTCCAGGGATGCCACGTAAATTGAAAAAATCATTCACACAAGCGTACCACAAGCACTAAGCACTATTTTCGTATCGACTAAATAAATATTCTATTTGATTTATTTCGAAAACTTTTCGAATAGAGTAGTATATCTCACACACATGACTATCAGTATCAACAACAAAGAGAAGAGGAAAAGAAAAGAAAACGGAAAGAAGTACTGTACTCACCGGTTCTGAGAGATAGGACTCCCACAGTTCCCTAAGGTCGCTGCTTCCCACGTCGTAGAATTCCATGATCCTAAGCTTCCTCGATCGTTCCTAGTGCCGTTCCGTTACCAGTCAATGGATCGTCGTACAGTCTGCCCATGGAGGATGAAAAAAGGTATCAGAAGTGCACGGACACGATCTCTCCTCGAGGATCCATTGTCTTCCAAGGATACCCGGCAGACCGATACGTTCTGAAGGCAAAACGTTCGAACAAGTTGAACGATCGAAATCGTATATCTGTCGCTTATGTGTTTGTATATGCGTTTTCTGTGGTAGATCGACGCCGTCTTCCGCGTGGTCGATCGCGTTCGATTCCAATTAACGCGGTCGGAAGTATCGGTAGCCGGTTTCGAACGGTCGTTAATTTTCTTTTCTTTATTTCGTTTTTTCTACTTCTTGCTTTATATGGGTCAATGACAAGTGGGTATTTCTATGTTCGTAGAGTATTTTCTACATACAGAGATGACTTCTTTTTTTATTTATACCGTACTGTTTTTATCATTTTCGAGGACTTAATCATTTCGTAACGATTCTTCTGGTTTAATCTACATTTAGAAAGTGTTCTGGAAGATGTGAAAGGAGTGTATGTGTTTAAATGTGTAATATGATTAAATTAGTGCCTATTTTTGACGTTCTTTCTCGGACAAAATTATATCAAATCTTTATTTTTATGATAACGTGAAAGTCCCGACTGCTTTGATGGAGCGCCAAATTCGTATAAAAATTGTGGTAGAATAAAATAATTACTATTCAATATACAATTATATTAGTAATAATAAGTGCCTCTGTGTAATGAGTAAGTTCATATATTATAATCTCTTTTAATTGTGTAAATTTATCAACACCATTCTTTTTATTAATCCTAGAAAGCCCAAGGTGTTCGAAAGTTAAGTTTCGAAATTTCAGATTTTTCAATTTAGTCAAATTTCAACGAAAACAGATTCTTGGCGACCTATATAAAGTTATCTCACGAAGAAAACTCAAGTTGGAAATTTTTTCACATTTTTTCGACTATAACTAAACGCACTTATACATGGGTTCGTCGTACCGGATGGATTAAAACTGCAGATGCGCAAATGTTATCAGATAGATTGGAGGAACTGCATGTTGGGTGTGTTTGCGTGTGGATGGAAGAAGGCGAACCAGTAGAATGTGAATCAGTGCGTTATGGGTGAGCACGGTTTGGCATTTAATACCTTCTGTTGTTCTACGTTGCAACACGACGCACGAGTGCTGTAACGAGATCAATGGACCTGTCCCTATGGGTTAAGTATAGCGTTCTCGAGGACGAAAGGAAAATCGAACGCGTAGGGGGAAATGAACGTCGGTGCATCGTTGCAAAACAATAACGAAATTTCATTCCAATATGCCTTTTAGGTAACGAGATGCTCTTTCTTTCATTTCAAAATTAACCCAGCTGCACAACAATTACGTACTAATCTAACATAATATTGCAATAATAACCCTCAGAGGTGCATGCGACGAATTGGTTATCTTGAAACTTTGCTTTTAAGTGAAATTTCTCTATCCTTAATCCTCCAATCAAAAATGAAATGTTTCCCTAAAAATAATTTTAAATATAGAAATCTTTTACAGTGGCGTCACATTTAATCACCGACTCATTCAGGGGGCCCGAGAATATCTTTTGTAGAGAAGCTAAACGACAGTGGTATTCAAATTGAAAATTATAGCTTTCAGATTTAAATAACGACGAGAGTCTAATTCTTTCTATCGACACATTCACGTTAAATCGTTGGAATGGTAAGGTCAGGTACCGTCCACGATACTAATTGCCAGCCGGCGCATTATGCGTTCGTAATTGCGGTCATTAGCAGGGTTAAGTATCGAACAGAAGTACACTGTTCTCGCGAATAAAAGAAGCACGAAAATAAAAGAAATTGCACCTATCATTCAACAGGGAAAATGGAAACTGTTACAATCTTGCAAATCTCTCTTCTCCGTTATTCCCTAATCTTCTTTACTTCCAGCAACAATTTCGACGATCCTCCCGCGATAAAAGTCGCCGTTTACGCTCGAAAGAGAGAAAATAAAACGAAATATCATTTTCAAACACCAAATGTCTGACAGCAGCTCGTTACGGCTTAGAGAGCCTAATGTCTGCGCGCTATGTTTGCACAATTCCGGCAATTATCAGCAGCTGTACGGGCACATTAATGGAGTCTGTTGTTCTTCCTGAAAACACGTTGCCGAATGTGCGTCAAAAGAGGAGAGAACCGTCGTCGTACAACAGACGTTCCATCCTCGATTTTTCGTCGATCCGCCGCCATCCTCTGTCTCTCCCGTGCCAATCGAGCGCGCTCCTCGTGTCTGACCTTTTACTCGACTTGAAGAGTATCGATCGCAAACCGGTACCACGGGGAAAAAATCGAACGGAGGAAAACATATTGACCGTGTCATCGCGAAGATTCATTCTGAAGTGTGTATGCTGAATGAAACGCTTCGTGGAAATTATTTATCGGATAGACACGAGCCGCGGACGCATCTCTAACACGATCGGTCGATAAAAGCGATCCAGATAGCGGCAACATTTTTATTGAAATGCGAAGAACGATAAATACATTGTAGATTATGGTACCTCTTGCTGAGATTAACACTATCGAAACGATTTTAATGTTTCGGGGAAACTAGTGCGATCGTATGAAATTTTTTACGTGATAATATTAACACCTTTTTCAGGATCCTCCTTGTGTTTTGAGGATACTGGAGCAACACGTGGTTTCAGTGATTCTATGAAAGAACTAACGTGCTCGTTAATCTTTATTTCAGAGTTGATAAGCAAACGTTTTATTACACTTTGTGAATTTCTGTTTGATGCGAAAGTCAATTTTTTCCTACCTACATAAATGATTTTCAAAGTATTCGATCGATTTGTTGATGCTAAACCCATTTAGGGTTTAAGGAAAAATCACACAAAATTGAAAAATAAATTTCTCGAAAGTAGGATTAAGTGGAATTAGTTGTCGAATAAAATCTAGGAAATTAAGCAAATATAATGAAAAATTTGGTAGGAAATGGGTTTAGAAAAATCGAGTGTTTCTCCTTCCAAGAAGAGAATATCGTTCGAAAATCGCGACACGATTCGACTGTATCAGAAAGCTCTCGATATCTCAGCTGCGAGATTACGTTCGTAAAAATCTGGCCCTGCGAGTTAATTTCCGTTCGTGAATCAGTGTTTACATTCGGCCAAGCAACAAGTGAGCGATATTAAATTGACGTTCTATCAAACGAGATCAACGGAGCCTGCAGTTAATTAACACTTAACAGTGATCGATCCAAGTACCACGTCGAACAGAAGAATCGTGTTCGTATAGAAACTTAAGGGCAGTTCTTATGAATTTTTTTCTTCCGCACTAGAAGCTTTACATAATTCATGTAATTCATGTCTCACGCTGTTACATTAAACACTGAGAAATATATCCTGAGAGAAATAGATTTTACCGTACAGTCACATCCAAAACTTCCTCCTTCACTATTGGCATAATTACGTTCGTGGTAATCATTAGAAATAAAAGTAACCAGGTTTATTTTGATCGGTAAACTTGTCTCCATCGTCTACATCTCAATCACTTATTGAAATCGAAGAGGAAAGAAATGGTGGAAATTTTTTTTATTTAATCTATCGTAGGATATGGAAGTATTGTTGATATTTTTGTAATTCTGATGAGGACGATAGAAGAAGGTACGTAAAAGATACATATCTATAATTCGAAGTTAATCGGTAAATTCATTTCTGAGAAATTATTTTTGAGTTTTTATTCGGTTGACTTCAAACCCGGAAAACTTTATTAGCAATAAAAATTCTTCCGAGAGAATACTCTAGAACTTTCACACTAGCAGAAAATAGAAAAATATATATATCACGAAGATACCACGTTGAAACGTAAATAAAAAAATTCACGTTCCGTGAAATGCATTGAAATATATGTGAGAAATTCAACGGCGTGTTTCAATGCAAATTCAACATACGAGATAATATTTTAATGCGTCGTCCAGTGTTTATCTATGTTAACGCGGTTCCCACCGTGTGAACCGCCCTTAAACGCGAAACAACGAGTTCAAACCGAACGCGATACGCCCCCTCTACCCGCATCAGGCCCACACATAACGCAGCCGGTATCTTCATTAACGCTAGTTTCACATTCCGACTAAAAGCCTGCATGTCACGGTGTGTCCCAATATGAAACGTACTTTCATCATAATAATGCCCATTACGCGGTGAAATTTTCGAAAAATATTCACATATATAGTTTACGTTCAATTGACACTACCGATGCATCGCAATTGTAAAGACAAATATCGTAGAGTTAAGTGAAGATAGGTTTACAGATGGACCAGAGCGCGACACGCGACAAGTGGTTGTCCATAGCTATATATACTGTCTCGTATAAACAAATTCGAGGAAAACAGCGTGCACGCGCATTACCGCGGGTTGTTTCCGCATGAATCGCGAACAGGGTCACCCCCCGTCCGATAACACGTTCATTCGATGCAATCGAAATGCACCAGATGGAACGAAGCACCGGCTCAATGTGACCGACTTGTTCGATGCACGCGCGTACACGTGCACTCGACTGCAAGTATATGTATACTCTCCGCGACGCGATAACATAAATATATATGTTACATTTGACGCGAAGTAAAACGTGTTCGCTTATTACTTACCACGAAGAAAAAAATTCAAGAGAGACACGTTTCATACGGTATCAGGAGAAATCACCCCGTGTGAACCGGGGAATATCACACAAATATTCTTGTCGAGCGTTAACAGTGAGGCCACCAGCACTGATCGAACGGAGCCCGCACTGTACCATACGACGCACTGTTAGCAACCGAGGCGCCAATGAACATACAGGAAATCGGGACAGCGGGATCGATAGCCAACACCCGTGCACCTATGAACGTATTGGACCACCAATAGGGAAGGTTTCGCGCTCGCGGAGCCAAACTCACGGCAGTAAGCTCGCGCTCGACAGCTTGCTGCCACCAGAGACACGCCGGTCTGACCTTCGATCGGTAAAGTGGACTTCCGTGTAGGCAAAAGACGGAACGATGCGCGCGCGTTCACGTCCTCCGCGTAAATGCGCGACCACTCGCACGTGCTGCCCAACCGAACCTTCTCTAACCTCGTCGTTCGACCAATCAACGTGGACCACCTGTTACCAGCGTACTGAGCTCTTATGGAACGCGCCGCGAGAAACGATGCGCGCGCATTCGTTCTTTTTGGCGCTCACTAATGGCGTCCAAAGTTTGAAATTGTCGTGCGGTCGTCAGTTTCGTCGCCGATCTTTCCCGACAACGTTCGTAGCTCCAGATGTGCTTCGACCGTGAATGTTTATTTTGGAACGGCGTCGACGGTGGTTAAGTTTTTCTGAGGTGTTGTGTGTTGTGTATGTGTGAAGTAAGAAACTGCCAGGATATCCTGAAGGAGTCGTGCTAGCGGAATGGTGGGTAGCAGTTTGGTTTGTGCTTAAACATTCGTGTACATCTACGATGGACAATGGATACTCTGATCTTCCTTTGCAGTGACTGTAAGTCGATTATTTTATTATTACGTTTCTGTACTTGGTGGGTTTTTGGGTAATGTAATATTTGATGGAATATATGTGAAAATTCAAAAGACGTCTAATGAAAAGGGAGCTGTGGATTGAGATCGTTAGAATGTTTGTGAAATATAAGTTCGAAATAAAATATAGGTTAAACTAATAAATTCGTATATATCATTAGGAACTTATTTGATGTAATATCGCTTAAACTCTACTGTAGGTGTAATTAATAGGTGGAATTTAAGTTATAAAAGTAATCGGTATGTACGCCGGTATTGATGAATTCAAGATGGATCCCAACATGTTCGAACATGTCTAAGGCGGGAATGTTAAAAAATTCAAAAGTTGTATCGAACAGCTTTCACGAAATTCCAATTCAATTTGTATTCGTTTTGGATCACTAGAAATAATGCCACTTTACGAAAGATGTACTTACGTTTATTAATAAATGGAATACATATTTAAAATGTATAATATATATAT